TTTTTTCTTTTTTGAGACAGCATTGTGCTGTGTTCCCCGTACTTTAGTCTTGAACTCAGGGGCTTACAAAACTATTTATCATCTTCTAAAGTTAAATATAACAGGGGCTGGGGAGATGGCTCAATGGACTAAGCGCTTCCTTGGCAAGCTCAAGGGCCTGAGTTCAATTCCTGTTTCTGCCAAATAAATAAATAAAGTTAAACATAACATGAGGATTACTTGGGGCTTTCCATTTTGTGGAGTGGTTTCCAGTGGACAGGAAAATTGGTAGCTGGGAGTTAGCAAATCTGTGTGTAATTATGCTTCTGCCTGTGACCTGGCCCAGCTCTCAGAACCTTAGTTTCTTCATCAGTAAAGTGTATAAAGGTTCTGGGCAGGGAGGGGAGGTGACTCTGAGGAGAACTGACAGACATGATCCCTGAGGTCTCTTCTGGACCAGGCTTGTTTTGACTTGAACTCTCTGAACCCTTGCAGACCACGTTAAAAGAAGCAGAGTAAAGTGGTGATTAACAATGTGGGATGCTTTGCTTGGTTGTAAACAACAGAAGTATAATTCTGTTGGTTTGTTTTTAGTTGTTCTGTGGTGCTGCATATCGTACCTAGGGCCTTGTGCATGCTAGACTTACTCTATACCCCTAGCCATTGCTAATTATGGTAACTTAAGAAAGAGAATTTATCGATTCAGGTAACTGGAAAGCCTAGGAATGGGTCAAGTGTAAGATATGGTTTAATCCAGGGATGTTTTCATGAAAGCAGCTTGAGGTTCTCCTGGCTCTGCCGTCCACTCTGGGTAGCCTTATCCCCAGAAGTAGCAAAGTGGGTACAGTAGTTCAAAACCAGTTGGCAGCGAACAGATGTACATCCTGCTAGCTCAAAACAACAAAGAATGTTTTTCACCTCAACTATCAAACCAAAGTCTTGGGTTTTATTCTGATTGGACCAGCTTAATGTTTTGTGTCCACTCTTTGTCCAGATACTTCCCAGTGCCTAGATGTGACTGGTTGGCTCATGTCATGTGGGGGCTGGCTCTTGAGATTAGGAGAGGTCAACCCCACCTTAGTTCCAGGCCCTGGATCCTGGGAAGTTTGAGTACATCTCCATAATTGTCCATGATTTGATTCTGGCTCTGCTAGCTGTGTGTTGTTGGGTAAGTTAGATACCTTAGCAAGTATCAGTTTCCTTGTCTGTAAAATGAGTTACTAATACATATATCAGAGGACTGTTTAGAGGATTAAATTACATACTACAGCTGGGCATGGTGGCACACATCTGTAATCCTAGCACTCAGAAGACTGAGACATGAGGATCACTGTGAGTTTGAAACCAGCCTAGGCAATAGGATGAACTCAAAGCCTGCCTGAACTGCATAGCAAGACCTTGTCTCAAAAAGATAAAACAAACAAAAAACCCAAAAAACATTAAATGCTAGATATAAAGCACTTGGCATACTTCCTGGCAGAGTGAAGTTAGGAGGATGGTCTTGAGAAATTGAAGGCGAGGGAACAATGGCATTAGCTGCAGTTTAGGAAGCAGCTTCCTAAAATGGGGCCAGAAATGGGGACCTGGTCAGACATAGGTGTTTCTGTCACCAGGAAGGCTCCCATTTGATCTGCCTGTGTCATACTCCTGACCTTGGCCTTTTTGTGCTCTTCTTCCCTGCCCCCATTGGTATTGGGAATCGAACTCATAACTTCACAGAGCCCGGCAGGCTTTGTGCTGCTGAGCTATCTCCCCAGCCTCTGTGCTCTTCTTATATTATGTCTTGTCTAGAAATGTTTTCTTCCCCTTGTCTGCCTTGCCAAATCTTGTTTCCCAAGGCCCCCCCATAAGTGCCACCTTAGAGCCAGTAATTTAGTCGGACTTCATAGATGCCTATTTGAGTCGCCTAATGAATGGTGCCAGTTGTATTTAAGAACTCAGTGTCTGGATTTGCCTGACTTGGGCTTGCTACACTTAGGCAGGGCAATTTGAGGAGATAGCCAACCTCTTTATGCTGTAGTTTCCTCTCCTATAATGCAGGTCTTAATACTAGCTGCTTCAGAGAGTGGTTGAAAGAACAAAGTGAGATAATGTACATAATGTGCTTAGCGTGGTGCTGAAAAGTAAGTTCTAGAACTTCATGACTGTTAGTAGCTTGATGAGGCCAAGGTCCTTGCTGTCTCTGCAGCAGGTACTGCTGTTATGCTAGGCACATAGTGGGTGCTGAGTAAACCCTTGGAGGATTTTGAAGAAGATGGAAGTTCTTTCTCCTCACCATTTCCTTATCCTCCTAGGGGCTGGGGGGAGTCATCCCCTGAACCCTGTAAAGTCACTTTGGCAAAACAGATGATCTGTGTGACAGGAGGAGTGACTGGCAGGGAGGATGGAGTGATAAGGGCAGGAGGAAGTTGATAGGGTGACATGTGCTGACTCATAAGGAACCAGAAGCTAAGAAGAAACCAGCAAGAGGCTGCCCTGTGTCTTGCCCTGCAGCCGTCAAGTCCAGTATCACCCCAGTCATTCGGTCCAGCTGGTGATGAGATGGGGACCAGTCAGTCCATGTGCTTTCCGCCTGTCTCCGGACCCCACCTTGTAGGCTGTGGGGATGTGATGGAGGGCCAAAGTCTCCAGGTAGGTGTCTCTCGCGCCACCCCTGCTGGCTTCGAGATCAAGCGCAGGCCTGGCTATGCAGAGCCAGGTAGGGGAGGCTGAGTTACAGTTGGCCTTGCCTTGGTCATGAGTGAGCCCTGGGTCTGTCTTCCCTGGCCTTTTCCCTTCATCTTTCCAAGGACTGTGAGAACTTCCCAACTGGCAGACAGTGAGTTCTGTCTTCAGCCAGGACGACAGGAGCCCTGCTTCAGAGGCAGCTCCTCTCCCCTGTCTTGAGAGCAGATGCGGGGGCCTGCCCTTAGCTCAGTTGTTTAAGTGCCTACTCATGCAAAGGCAGTGGAGCAGGATAC